TTTGTTCTTTCATTTGTACTCTTCTTGGATGATGAGTTGTCAGCTCTATTGATTCCAATAGGTTAGAAACAGTTGCAGCTTGCATTTATGCCATTTGTTCATTCACCACACAATATTATGTCTCTACAGTGACATGCTGTTTGTCTGCATGGCAATGTGGAACTTGGATAAAAACACAGGCTTAACCTCCAGCATAATTACTCCAATATTAAAAGCTGTTGAGTAGGAAGGGGACACAAAGTTTCACAAGGCTTTTGCAAATTTTTCTGTTTCTCTGCACAAATGAACGAATGCTTTACCCTTTTATTAAATACAATCCGTATGTATACTCTCTCTTCTGTCGCAGAGATATTCCCAGCACTTACACCATGGTATGAAGCGTCTGGGGGGAAATGCAATTTCTTCCTGGGAAAGAAAATGCAACTGTCAATGCTCTCTGCACGCAGAAGATGTTTGTACAAGTGTTGAGTGTACCAGCTGTATCGTGTCTGTAAAGGAAACAATGACACATGACACAAGTCCGCTCCACCCTTCCCTTCCCTAGGCCATTTCTGAATCAATATTTTAGAACTAATATGTGCTTAGTAACCAAGTAATACAGCTTTGTTTTCTGAATTCAAGCCTGTCTGTCACATTATTAGCTCATCCTTTCTTGAGGAGTGCCATATATTCTCTCGCCAGGCCCATGAGTTTGGCCCAGTTCAGGTGAGATGCTTATTTGCCCAAGTGAGCTTTCCAGTGAGCTTAATGACTGAATGGATCATCTTTCCAGCTCAAGCCCAGCTATAGTTCTCTAAGACCGCAAATTTCTGCATACCTGGGAGAAAACTCCATTGGACTTGCTGGGACTTGTTTCTGATCAGCTATGTACAGGCATGATTGACAACTGCTTTATTTGCATGTGTGCATCAACACATGCGCACGCGCGCGCGCACACACACACACACACACGGCCACTGCAGGGCCACAGCCCATCTTTGCAAAGTAACTCCTTCACTATCCTTCAGTAACCAAGCAACTAAACTATAACCGACCTGAAGGCTTCTTCCGAGCTGCTGAAAGAATGGAGAGCTCCCCCTGCCCAGCCATCTTTGTCTCAAGGGAAATAAATGGGAGAAGCGGAGAGAAACAGAGATGCAAACCTGAGCAGATCCTCACTCCAGAATGGAGCATGGGCCCAAAACTGACAGTCAGCCTTCACTGGCTTGCCACTGGTCCCATCACAACCACTGTTGCAATTGCCTCATCCTTTTCCTTATATGAGAAGAAGAGTGATGGATCAGGCTAAAGCCCTGTCTAGTCAAGTGCTCTGCTCCTGCAGTGGCCAGCCAGGTGCCCATAAGAAGGTCACAAGCAGAACATGAACACAAGAGCATCTTCTTCCTTGTGTTCCCCAGACTCGGATACAGGAACATTATATCACTATCAAGAGCAGTCATCACTGACAGCCTTACCCTCCCTGTTAGGAAATGTGGATCCTCTTAGAAAATGTACAGTATTTTGTTTCAATCATTGACTGCACTGGTGCTTCCACACTGCGCAAGACAAGGATAATTATATCTGTGCTATGAGCTGATATATGGGTCAGTCCAGGATTGGGAGCAGTCTGGTCTAGATGGGGTTGTGGTGCTGATCAGATTGTGGCTTTGGAGTACTCCCAGGTTCAGCATTGTTCCTGGATGTTCAAATATTTGCTGTGGACATGAGTTTAGGCTGGTGAATCAGTTGCACCTCTTCTTGGAAAAGGGGAATCCAACCAAAATATTGTATGTCTTGATCTCCTCCTGACTGGATTACTGCAGTATTTGTCTTTGAAAAGTATTTCATTCAGCAATTAATGCTGAATGAAGCAGCTATTTTGTTCTCTTGTGTTTTTGAGGCCACATTGCACCATTTTTAAATCAACCACATAGGCTCCTGCCATTTTCCAGACTTAAATCAATCTTGCCTGTTAGGCCCAGGAGATAGAACCAAACTGTAGGTTTGGATCATCTTTGGAGGCGTTGTTTTATGCCTTGCCAGGAAAAGAGGTTCTGTTGGCATCAACTTTTGGCACCAGAGAAAGCAAAACATGGCTTTTTCTGTGGTGGTACCATTATTATAGAATTGCCACTCAAAGGAGGTGAGATTGAGGGTGTTTGTCTCAATCTTGGAGTCCACCAAGCTCTTTTTTCCACTTGGGTTTTAAAAACATTATTAATAGTAAAAATAAAGGGATAAGTAGCGTGCTGCAAAGTGAAATGCTGGCTTCCACTGCCATCTTTATTTCCAAGAATGCCTCTGGACGGCACCTAGTTTCCAGAACATTCTTAGAAAATAAAAATGTGGGTCACTTCAGCCTACTGTGGCCCCAAAAATAAGAAAGGTAAGCTGGGGGAGAATAGGGAGTATTCTGGAGCACCAGGGGTTGTTAGCATGGGAAGATGTTTTGGTTATCCTTGGCCATGTTAGCTGCATGTGACTTTGCTGGTTTGTGTGTATGCTTGTTCTGGCCTGGTTGCATTTTGCTGGTGGCAAATTTGTTTGTGTTCTCTGAGCACCACCATTTGCCTTTTATGAAATAGATACTGAGTTTAGAGACCACTCTGGCCTTGTTTGCAGTTTCTTGGCCATGTTACTACTCTCTAAGTCTTGTCAGTTTTCTTTCTGTTTAAATGGGTGTCAGAGTAGAAAAGCAAGAGTTCAAAAGGTTGTTTTCCCCTGCTTTGGAGCTCAGAACCTACTATCTCTCTTAGGTTACTTTTCCTTTAGTCTCATGTGTTGGCCATGGTGTGTTGTTACTATCTCTATCATGCAAATGGGCCAGTCCCCTCCATGGCAGCCATTGTATAGATCACATGCATGGCTCTTTCAAAATTCCAAATGTTCCCAGTATGCCAAAATTGTTAGGAATCCCCAGTCTAAGTAACCAAGCATAGGTGATAAAAAGAAGTGTGTAAGTATTGATACTCTACATAAAGCCTTCCTATACCTCCAAAATAGAGGACAATCCCACCAAATGAGAGTTCATATTTCTTTTTAACAATTTTTATGGTCAATGGATTATTTTATGCTATACAACCAATGGTATAATATTTTTGCCCAGTATTGCTTCTCACCTTTCTCCCAACTGTGAGCTACCTAGGCAGAGATCGGTTTATAATCATTATAAACCTGATACCTTTTAGGCTATACATGAATAAATAACCCTTAGATTAAAAAATAAAATCCCTAACTTGGGTGAGATTAACTTCTACTTTGCCCTGATAACCAATTTATAAATCAGGGATAGTGTTTCTCTACCTCCCAAAGACTGTGTTAAAATTGATAAATGATTCAGAAGTGCCCAGGTACTGTACAGTTGGGATCCCACTGCCATCTGTCTGATGGTCTACAGCTTACCTAGATCAGCTGCTGCCATAAAACAGTAACTGTGATGAATCTGGGCTGTATATATGACTTACCCCAGTTCTGATAGTCATGAGCTCCTTCTTGGTCAGGCTGGCATGGCTTTTGAAGATATATTTGCAAATACATCTTTGCGTTTACATCTTTACACTAATAGTACATTAAGGTGCTTATCAAATCATTGGATCTGCCCAGTGAACAATGTGAAAGAATTCTCTGAACAAGGAGATTTTTTTTAAAGTCTCACAGACTGCACTATATGACTTTGCAGGACATGATTCTACAAAGCTTTGGACTTTTGGCCAGTTCCAGTAAAACCTAAGGTTGTTGACTTCAGTGATAGTGCATGTTTAGCCCTTTATTAACCCATTAACAAGAATGGTTGTCTGTCCTTCTTGGTAGTTGCAAGCCAAGCTCTAAATCTGAATTCAACCAGTTTGTAGGCAATGTAAAAAGTCACATTTCCTCTTCATCTCTTTTCTCTTTAACACTTATCAATATTACTCCAGTTTAATTAACCTAGAATAACCAGCCAATCACTTTCACCAGCATGGATTATAATATTCACTTTACTCATAACCATGCACTGAAGCGTATAAAATAACTGCCCTTTAAGCACTTAAGCTGGGAGTGGCTTCCACACAGTGCTTAATCCTGGTATGGGCAGGCTAAGCATTTTATGGCTGGAATGCTAAGCATACCTGCATGAGAGTATGTCCCACTCATTAAATGGGACTTTCTCTTGAGTAAATATTCATCCAGTTGGGATCTTGTGTATTCACAAGGGGGTTCCTGCTTCCTCACATGACTGTAATTCCCATTATTCCAAGGGTTAAATTAGTTTTAAACCAATTTGTAATTGCAGACATAGTGGAGTCATATCTAAAGGCAATTTACTACAGCCAAGTGGGACTCTACCAGGTCAAGGGATATTAAAAAGTATACAGATTGTAATAGGAAGACAGATGGCAGCTAACTTGGTTAAGACTAGTTCACCCTGGGGAAAATAGCTATAAAAACTGGATGTGAAGAAGTCTGAAGTAGAATACTGGAAGACCATATTTGTAGTTTCTGGGGGAAATCTTTTCCACTTAACTCCCCATGCAGCAATTTGAGTTTACTGGGAACCAGACTTTACACTGCCTTATACATTTCTGTTATTTGAATTGGGAGGGACTAAAGAGGCTATGGGTTCACACACTTGTGAAGCTGGATGGGAGCAGGCCAGGTGAGTGAGGTAGTAACTAGCTGTCTTTCATTCAAGGCACATTTAGGATTATCTTGTTCCTTGGTTTAAGGGAGCTGCCTCTGGCAAACTTTGAAGCTGCCTGCCCTATACAATGGGTGTGCAAGCAGAGCAACAACAATTCAGCAGCACAACGCACAAGGAAGGACTTCAGTGAAGACTGTCAGTTAAATCCATGCATTCACCTCAGAATAGTTCCACAGCTACTTAAGCAGTTCAGTACCCTGATGCTCATGAAATGTTTTTCATAATCATTAATGCAATTTTCAGGCTGCAGTCCATAATGTTATTTCCACTTTTTCCCTCTGAGCTATAGAGTCTTCAGGAAGGGAAACACATTGTCACTGAGACAGAACTTCCAGTCATCACGTATGGTTTAATGTGATCAAAATAATGTTGACAGACTACACAGTAACAAAGTTGTGTTTACAGATAGATGGATGGCTAAATAGATGTTAAGCAGTTGTAGTTGTGATTTAGTAATGATTCTATCTTCTAAAAAAATGTGAAATAGAATCTACCAGCTAAAACTAATGAGCACAAAACTACATTGATTTGGCCCAGGGTGGACAAATAGAACATCTGGCATATTTGGCACCAATGACACAGCTGGCATTGTTGGAACCATTTCTGCAGAAGGTACAGATGCAGAAATGGGAGAATTGGTACAAACAGTGCAGATGGAGCAGTTGGAACAGATGACAGTGGGCAGAGCTGGCGATGCTGGCACAGGTGTCATAACCTCAACAGCTGGCACAAGTTGTGACAATCCTGGGATTTCTTAGTGCAAGGCACATGTTCATTTTGGCTTTGGCTGCAGAGAGATAAGAGCATTTTATAATTAGTAAATGTGCCATTTAAAAAGGAACTTTTCCCCCCCCACTATCCTTAAGGACATCTACCTCCAACTGTTAAAGCTTGGAATGCAGAGCATTTTTGTAAATTATAATTTCCCTGAGAAAGCCGCAATTGATAAATACAGATTTAATAGAAGGCAATTAGACATTTTTTAAATTCTCATATAGATAATAATCATGAATAGGATTTCTTCATAAGAGATTTGTTGAAAAACATGTTCAGATCTGTATCCCGATTGTAGAGATTAAAGCAAGCTTTGTCTTAAAGCCAAAGCTTGTTTACCGTCAAATTGGTGGGTTTTATTCTCCTATATTCTCCTAAAGTGCAATGTTTCACAATGAAATGGAGGCTGATAAACACAAATGTGAATAAAGCAGTACCAAATTACGTCTGCCAAAAATGTTACCTGCTCACTTAAAAAAGGAACTGTGTGCAAAGCTTCAAAATGAAAGGCACATTTGTTCCTTGTTATGGAAAACCTGATAATCCAGAATCTCTCCCTCCCTCCCTGTGTGTGTGTGTGTGTGTGAAAGAGGGAGAGAGAGGGAGGGAGGGAGAGAGAGAGAGAGAGATGAAAAAGCCTGTTTCCCATATTTTAAAGGAGCTGAAATTTTTAAGCCAGTCTGGTTGGAAATTTTAGGCCACTCTGAGATTATGATCCATCCATCCATCCATCCATCCATCCATCCATCCATCCATCCATCCATCATAAGGTTCTCAAATTTCCATCAACTAGCCATCTTCAGAATCCTTGGTTTGGAACCAGAATAAGTTGGACATGCATTAGGACTTAAATTAGTCATGACTGGCTCGCAACGAACTTAGTCTTTATCCAACCCTTTGTGTAGGAGAGGTGGGAGCTAATCACACTGTCCTATTGCCCCCACATCAGATGCATGGAAGCCTCCAGACTCTGAGGCTTTGGAGAACCCAGTGGCAGGAGTGAGGGAATGGTGGTGGCAATCTTGGCCACTGCCATACCTCCACCCTGCGTTTTCTCTAAACAGCTGTTTTTTGGTGAGCAGCCAGCATGGTTCTTTCTAGGCAGGTGTGATGCGGCAAGTTGGACACTCAGCCATTGGAGTCCCAACTTTGAGATGATAGACAATGTTGGGAGGCCACAGGATTGTGCCCTACATAGGCTGGACCCAATTTAAACTATGTGGGAGAGTCAATTAGTGCCCAGTCCTATGAACTATACCCTTGCCACACAAGTCCCTGAACTCAATTGCTCCCAGATTCCTGTGCCCTGCTGAGCAGCTGGCAGAGTGGCAGGAATGGCAGAGGCAGCCTCTGCCTCCCTATCATGGTCTCTGGAGGAAGCATTAAAGGGGAAGGCTGGGGCTGGAGGAGGCTTGGGATATTTTGTATTCTGGTCCTTCAAGTCTCCTTCCCCCCCCCCCCACCGACCATGACTCTTTCCTCCTCCTCAGTTGCCTTTCTGCACTCAGAAAAGCAGCTGGCACAGTACTTTGCACACCAGTTGTATGTGGGGACAGGTCTGGGGTCTAAGCTCTGAATCCCCCTCCTGAGCCCGTACTAGGGACCATATGATAGCTCTCCTAATGAGCAATTAAATAAGGAGCTTGCACAAGAGTCTGGACCACACTTTCTTGGAAAGATCCATCTCATAAGTGATCCTGTTCACCCAATCACAAACAACTTTAGTATCAAGAGAAAAGGTCAAGTCCTTCATGTTAGAAGTAGGATGGGTACCCTTCCCACAATTCTGTCTCCCAGGTAAGCTATGGTTTGCTGTGCCCATGACCCTCCTGGAACCCTCACAAAACTATTATCATATCACTAGCTAGAGTCTAATCCAGTCTATACTAGTCAAAAGTCCTACCTTTTGGTTTTGAATGTCCATACTTATGTTAGACTATGGTCTATATTAGACTATGTTGTTCCTATGTGCTGTCAAGTCATCTCAGACTTACAGTGACCCTATGAATGAATAGCCTCCAAAATAGCATGTCTTTGACACCCTGTTCATCTCTTGTAAATGTGTTCCCTTTCTTTGTCTGCCTTTGTCTTTCCCTAGCATTACTGCCTTCTTCAGTGAGTCTTGCCTTCTCATGATGTGCCTAAAGTACAACCGTCCCTTTTTCATCATTTTTGTTTCTGGCTTGATTTGATCTAGGACACTCTTGGGCCACAAACTTAAAGAAACAGGGCTCATGTCTTCTGTTCAATAGCATATGAAAGCAGAGAAATATGTACATTTTGTTTACAAATCATCCCAGAAGTGTTAATGTTGGTATTTGGGGCAGTGCCCAATGCCAGTACTCTTTAACTATGCTGTATTTACTCATGCAAATGCTTGAGTCTATATTTGTTTGGCAGCTCTATTCTATAGGTAACTGTCATTCCCCTATTATAGACTGCTTCCCCAGTAAGGAGGGGTAGCCATGTTTATAGTTCCAGTGTCCCAGGCTATTGACTTCTCAGCAGTAGAACAGGGTAGGTAAAACTGCAGCAGTGCTAGTTCAGAGCAGAGGAACTCCAAAACCCAATTTGAGCTGCAGTATTTTGCTGGAATCTGAGAAGATCAAAGGAAAGTTGGAGGTGGAGCTTCCTATCTAACAGACTCTTGCGTGTAGGCATTGCTGTCATCTGGTGAAAAATAATTTGCTATAAAAAATAGTTGGGAAATCCATATTGCATAGAAATAAAGGGCAGAGCCACATCTAGTATTTGTAAGGAGTGCACAAGCTGTCTCAAAATGACTCTGTCAGAAACAGTCACTCCTGTAGAATACAGAATTCCTCCAGAACTACTATGCAAGACAGAAATGGGTGATGGGATTAACAATCCTTCCTTTTTATGCAGTTATTTCTGCACTCCACTTTTCATTCACACACTCTGTATTGAATCTGAATTTAAGCCGGATCAACTGCACTGGAGAAAGTAGACTTCTCCACTCTGTTCATCCTACAGCAAGCTCTCCAGTCCCCTGACACAGAACCAAGAAACTTTCCTGAATGGAGTTAGCTGTGGTGTTGGGAGGGGGATCTCCCAAATCTAGAAAGAACCCTTGCTCTTGTGGAAGTCAGATCCTGAGTATAACCTTTTGATTATGGAATGGCATTGCAACTGACTCAATATACACCAGTTGAGTTTCTTTCTTTCTCTCGACTTTCTTTTGACTTTCTTTCCCTTGTTTAATGTTTTTATCTATACACTGATGTCCTTTATGGGTATACCTTATAAACTCTCATCAGTGTTCTTTAATCCAATTGTTCAGATATTTCCTGACTTTGCAGCTTGCAATGGTTCCCCAAGAACTGCATGTTGTATGGGCATGAGCACAAGAAAGCTCTCTAAGGACTTCTTCGAACATGACATTTCTCGCCACAGAGAAATCCGAATAGGAAAAATATGTGCAAAACATGCATGAAGAATAGGCAAGTGTCAATTTTGCCCTGAGTACACTTGTTCAGAAGCCAGCTGGGACATTTATTTTTGTTTTTGAAAACTTTCCAAAATTTCAATCTGTACCTTCAAAAGGTTGTCTGAGAATAATACTGAAAACATATCCATAAGAGGTAAAATGCATGTATGGAGAGTACAAAGACAAACAGGCCTTTTAAAAGATACCCCTGCGAATTAGGAGAATGTAATATTTAACAAAGTTTTTCTATGTTTGAGAAGTGTAATTAGGTAGGAAATGGGAAAATGATATCGTAATGTGGGATACCAAATTGTACAGTAACTTGTTTCACTCAACAACAGAGGCCAGACTAGCAAATGAACATTTTAGGATTTATTATTATCAGACTGAATGTTTATAGAGAAACATAATAGTCTAAACCTTCTGAGATCCTTCTCAATAATAATATAGTTGTTATCACTAATTTTGTGGTTGGTACATTCCCACAAGAGGCATTTCTGTAGAGTAAGGATGCTGCTAAACAGATGATCATTGGTCGTCTGCTATAAGTCACAAACAGGGTTCTAAATCTCCTTCCCACAGCTGCAGGGGATACTGTGCAAGATATGCACGTTGTTTTTCTTGTTACATGCCGTCCTGTTATCTCTGACTTAGGGTAACTATGAATGAATGTCCTCCAAAATGCCCTGTCCTTGATAGCTCTGCTCAGCTCTTGTAAACTCAAGGCTGTAGCTTCCTTAATGGAATTGCTTGGTCTCATAGTTGTTCTTCTTTTGATCTAGGACTTGCTCTTACCAGAAAACTTAAAGCAACAGGGATCGTGTCTTCTGTTTACTAGCATCTGAAGGGGCTCTCTCACCCATACATAATGATCAGGAGTACTGATGTATCTTCTGCCAATTTTCACTCCTTTCTCCTGTGATCCTAATCCAGCTTTCCTTATGGTAAGTTCTGTGCACGGATGGAACAGATAGGGACATAAAGTACACCCTTGTCTGACAAATATTCCTATGGGAAACCATTTTGTTTCTCTGTCATCTGTCCTTACAGTTGCATATCAGGACTATCAATTGCTGCAGCACATATATTTCTTTCAGGACTATCCATAGCTTCTCATAATCCACACAGTCAAAAGCATTGCTGTAATGTGTAAAGCAAAGGCTTCTTCTTCTTCTGAAATTCCTTGGTGCAGTCCAGTAGCTAGTATATATTTGTGATAAGCAAGCACCTTTGCTGAATGAGTATAAGTCCTTTCCTTTGATGGTGTTTTGCTATTGTATGTGTGCATTTGGAAACATGCTTACTACTTCTAAAAACCTCATTAAAAACAAATAGGTGATTAAAATGGCACATATCACAAGGTTAGATTGAATGTGTTCTGAGCTATGATAGATCTACCTATCCCATAGGACGTATGTTGCCTAACTACAGATGTGACTGGAAAATTACACAAGATGTATCTGTTTGGTTAAACCTTCCTATAATACAACACATACTTCCAGCATTATGAAACATGGTCAGTTTTGCTTTTGTGGTACAGAAGAATTTTAATAATATTCAAAGTA